GCAAACAAAGACACCTCCCCAGGCGAGCCCTGAAAGCCAGGCGTCAGGCAATACTGATAAAATGCTTCTGCAGACACAAACTCCGGCATTCTGCCCAAGGAGCCTCAAGCTCCACATCCCCCCCACAGTGTTCCCAGGTCTCTGTCATGAGCAGGTATCAGCAGGACTCGGTTATAACCAAGAATTGCTCACCAATTTTTGCCATTCTGTTAGGAATGATCAACTCCTGAAGGCAAATGCCATTATTATGCTCTAGCTGCTGAAGGAAGGATAAAAATAAGTGTTTCTGGTATCCAAAGATTCAGTGAAACATTTCCTCTGTTGTGGTGAGTGGGGTCTCCCAGGATGATGGAGAACAGGCACTACTTTAGTGTTCATAACATTTGCTATAGGAGCTAAAAAAATGCTCTTTTTAGTATAAAATTAGACAAAAGTACCATAAACTTTGTGAGACTTTTCCGTACTAGTGCTAGTGGACCTACCACTGCTGTTAGCCTTGCTCAAGAGTGGAACAGAGGGGTCCTCTTTTCTATTTTGAACAGGACACCTGGCTGAGTACATGCCATCAGCACAATAGCTCCAGCAGTTGACATTTCCATGCCCAAAGTGCTTAGATAGCAGCTTGTGCTATCTCTTCTGGGTGGTGAGTTTGCAAACGGGGTCAGTGATGTGCTCCAGAGCAGATAAGGAGCTCTCACGCTGGGGGCACAACCTTCCCCAAGACCCTGTGAAATCTGCTGCTATACAGACCTTTTGTAATCACTGCTGGTCCTCTCTGCTGGTCCTGACACCAGTAATGGTCCTGTGAGCCAAGAAACTAGGGTGACTGCGGTACAATAAATACAGATAAACCCACCTGCCTGGTATTCTATTTGGAAGGATGAGAGGTGATCCAGGTCTGCTCATATTTGGAGAGGATGCATTTCTTTTTCTTGTCTTTGGCCTCAGCTACATTATTACACAGAATATTCCAAGAAAAGCCACTTAAGAAGAACCTGTTTGATCACCTCCTTTATAATTTTTTTTTTCTTCCCCTGGTTCAGATGCGCAAGGGATCAGGGAAGCTGTGGTTTTAAGTGTTTCCACTGAAACCAATAGCCATGTTACCCAGTAGCATACCCAGTTTAGGAGCTTTTGTGTCTTTCCTATTACCAGCAATGCAGGATATCACACTTTTTTGTATGCAGTCGATCAAATAGCTAACCTTTTGAAGATGGTGACAGCCACCCCAGGGACCATGCTGGACATCGGATGATAGAAGAGATCATAGTTTTGGTGGAGTTTGCTTCTTGCAGACTGCCTCCTGGCTAGTACCCATCAACTACTCCACAGTCCAAAAATGTATAGGGTTTATCAAGGAAAGCAATGTTATACAGAATGTGTAAGTTAGAGGAAATCCCACAGCGTGGAAGCAGTAACCCATAGCGAATCTAAAACTGGCTGGTCCTCTGGCCATGCCTGCTGCATGCCATCTATGATCAAGCTGTTAGAATAAAGCACTTGGAAGTACAGCAACCTCCCTCTCCTGCATTAAGTTGTCAGTGCTGCAGACTCATGTCAGTCAGTCCAAGAGGAGAGTGGATCCCCCCAAAACACTCCAGGGGAGCAGCTGTAAGTAGCTCGGGGCAGGACGGTCTTCCTGCTTCTAACCATAAAACCAAACTTTTGCTGCAAGGAATTTGAGGAGCCATTGGGGCAGCAGAGATGGAGAATGGGCCTGGCAGCAGCAAGCTGAAAGCACCCTGAGGGATGAGGTAGCCTGATCACAGGAGTAGCCTGTCTTGCATGTAGCCAGACAGAGCTAAAAGGGGTTGTGGAGCTGCAAGATACCCTGAAACAGAAGAAACCAGGGGACAGCATAGCTGAAGGAGAACGAGTGTCAAAACAAACTCCACAGAACAACAAAAGGCAGGAGAAAAACAAGTGTTTGTTTTGCTCTCTGTTTGCTTTTTAATGAAAATAGGCGGGTCAGTGTTTGAGAGTTGTTAGCATTTCTCACTGACCTGCAGCTGGTGCATTTTTCACCCACTTCTGTCAGAATTTATTTGAGTTTGGTACTGAACGCTGATCAGACTTTGCCCCTTGCTTTACTTAGGCTTGGAATTGCTTATACAGCAAACACTCTCTGCTAGGGTTCTCATTAATCCACTTCTTTGTTGAGGTTTCCTAGAGGAATTCCTATTTGGTAAACCAAACAGAATTAAAAGGAATGCATCTGCACTGGGGGATATCCATCTTGGGTCTCTGGGCCTTATTGTCCCGCCTAAATTAGACTGAGAGGCCCCTCGTGTTTGCCTGGTGCCATGTTTCCCATTGCCACTTGATAAAGAATTAATAGCAGTGTATTAGCCCGGAGTATTTATCCGACCCGCGGGGGCTGCAGCAGGCAGCGGCTCCCCGCCACTAGGTGGCACTTCCCCTCCTACAAATTACAGTAATTAGGCCGAACGGCTGGTGCCGCTAATGAACGCCGCCTGCCACTCTTCTCAATCGGCTGGAGGGGATGGAAGCTGCCGTACAATATTTTTTATTAAAAAAAAAAAAAAAAAAAAAAAAAAAAAAAAGGACTGGTGAATATTCTCCAGCTCGGCTTCTCATATCTGCTTTTTTTTTTTTTTTTTTTTTTTTTTTCCAGGCACTCAGAGAGAGCTCACAATGATTTCTTTGCCTCTGCATTTGTTTTGTTGAAACTTGTCAGCCTCCTACACGTGTATAAAGTTGGATCCTTTCCTCTAGAGATAGTGTTTGTTATTGAAAACAGACAACTTTCAGTCCCAATTCAACATTCATTCCTTCTTTGTTGCCTTGGTATCAGACGCAACCAATACGCCCTGAAAGAAGACAAGACAGGAAAGCCAATTTGGGCCTTCCAGCTACTCCTTTCACAGCACCAACAGAGAAAGTTTAAAATGAGTGAAAACTTCAGAGTCTGGCCCAAGAAAACTTATATTTATTTAAGAAAAAAAAAATAGAGCCAGGTTTTACTGTGGATTATGTGACATTTCACCTTGTGCTTTAAGTTTCTATAAAGCCTAGTTTAGGTCAAACTGATTTTGGCAGAAAACCAGGCATAACTAAGAGCTTCATATAGTTTCCATCTGAAAACATAAATCAAGCAGCAGGCTCATGGACAGCCCAGCCAAGGTTTGCTGAATCTTACAGCTCCAGACAGTGAGGCTTTCAGTGAATGTAGTCTGATACATAGTTTTGGCTATGATATGTAGATATGTAGTTTGTTTGTTTTGCAAAGCATCTGGGTGCGAGGAGAGGAGGAAAGATAAGTGAAATGTGGCTTTTTCCAAGCTCAGAAGCTGCCCCCAGCTCCTTGGTTGCTGGTGAACAGTGGGCTCTTTTACACAGTCTTGAGTGGCTCGGCGGAAGCATGTGGGATGCAAATGGGAAAAGGTACAAGAGGGTTTATACATTTTTTTGATGTGTGCACAGATGTATTTATACTGTATCATCTGTGATGCAACCAGATATCCATTCATACCTGCACAGTCCCATTGCCCCTTTCACTTTTTATCTGTCCATCTTTGTTAGCTCCATTTTTTTTTGGTGAACTTGGAGGCCTTGATTTTGCTAAATCTTGCGTGCCTTTTTGTTCTCAGCCACTTTCCTCCGTGTTTAGTGGGACTGCTGCCTGAGGATCCAGACCTTAGTTTGCAGGGCAGTGACTGTATGTTTTTGTGGAGTGCCTTGAGATGTTCAGTTTAATAGAGCTATTTGTATTTTTTTAAAAACAATGAGAAGACATAATTTCGTATTTGTGAAATGGTTTAATAAGCTCTCACAGGCTTAAAGCAACACGAAGGCTTAAACAATGCTTTTTCTCAGAATTTTCTCATTTAATTGTAATTTTGTTTTTGCACTGTAAGAGCCTGAGTGGTTTCTAGCTAAACCCTTCACATAGTGTAACCTCTGCTGATTGGCCCCCACTCCCTGCACTACCGTAATCATTTCCCTCTGATTCACAGAGGGCTGAATTGTTTCTGCCTGTGAGTATCTGTCAGGATTAATGCCATTTAAAACTTCCTAACATATTCCAGTCCATACTGCTGCTTTCAGCATCATACTGAAGACCTTCAGTGCACCCCTTTTCGTACTACAGTTTCCGTGCCTTATTAACAAATACTAATTATGCATACACTGCAACAGTTGCCTTATATGCAGCCCAGGTATACAAGATGGGGAAAAAAAAAAGAACAAAAGCTCAGTACAAAATGCTGGACGGATAAAAGGTAAAAGCATTTTCATACCTACAGTATTTCAAAGCTGACAGAAAAAAGCATGCTCCAGTTTGTGAATACAGGGCCGAAGCCGAGGGTTCTGATGGTGGTGAAATCCTTTAAAAGTGATCTGTGTCTGAAGACCAGAAATTGTTCATTGCTGAGGTTGTTGTATTAACTGTGATTTTTCCCTGGACAGGCAGTGGGACTGCTGAACATGTGAAAGGGCTGTATAGTTGCTGGACTGCATCACGAGACCCTACAGGGAAGTGTTCTGGGGTCAGTGGAGGTCCTAGATCCCTGTTAGCCCCTGCTAAATCTACTGCTGTACTTGTCAGCAGCAACTGGAGAAATCTTCCCATGAGCTTTGCTTCTTCTCTCAAAGTTTGCCCAGAGTCTTCTGTTCATACATGTCTTTCTTGAATGTATAACATATCTGCTTCCTTCCAGGGCCTCTCCTTCTCTTGGGCAAACACTCCTATTTTGACTTAAAAGCTGAAAAAATCCTGACTCTTGGTTTGTGTTTGAGTTCCCACACACCAATGCTTACAGTATCTCAGGGTGCTGATGGAGAACAGGATCTGAGGTCTTGTCAACATCTATTTTCACAGGATCGTTCTTCAAATTCCCAGTGCTGCAGAGTAGCTGATTGTGTCCGAGGAGCATTCAGCAGCATTAATTCTATTTCTGAAATCATAATCACTTCCATCAGCACGAGGGAGACTGAATCATGGGTGCTAATACCGCCGTCACACGTATCTTCTTGACAATCGTTGTTCCTCTTAATTAAATTAAGCAACTGTGAAACTAAAGAAAGGAGGGCTGAACAGGGCAAACAGAGGAAGAAAAGGTTTTTACTTTCATTACTTTGTGCTAAAACTTTTTACAGAAGCTTTTCTTTTGACATGAGAACAAAGCTAAATCAATCCCAACAACAACAACAACAACAAGCTAAGCAAATAAAGATCTCTGAAGCAGGAAAGTTGAGGAAATCTTTAGACTGTTGGATTTTTCTTCATTCTTTTGCAGATAGTAAGTGGTAAATACAAATTAAGGACCTAGCTCAAAAATGGCCCCTAAGATATAAATTAGTAATAAGCTATTCACTATAGTTAGGGTCACAATTAATATACCTGTGGAATATGTGTCATCCCTGAGACAGCTCCCCAGCAATGTCCTGCTGTTGGAATATGTTAACTGTCCAACTACAGATGATCCTTGGGTTACTCATTGACTTTTAAAACTGGAAGTAACATGAATAATATGGATAGAAATACCTTACATGAAATTCTCTACATAATTTTTGCATAAGAGTTAATGATTTTTGCAGCAAAGCAATAAGAAAAATTTAAGTCAAGAAAAAAAAAAAAAAGCTATTTCTTATGTGCTATAGCTCTTCAGCATTCATTTACAGCCTTCACTTTGTCAAAAGGTAGCTGGCACCTGCCTAATGGTACCAGACTCTAGATCCTGGATGAACAAAATAACTTACAGCTCCCTTACCAAACAAAAGAAATATGTTGACAGTGCTTACGCTTCTGTAAAAGGAAATCTGAAAGCACTTAAATAGAAAAATCTGAAATACATGTTTTCAGGGCCAGGCATTTAAGCCTCCCCAGAAGGCTGTAATAAGCTCTTCACATCATAATGCAATTATTTTAATAGACTAAGATCAGATGCCCTCTTTGTGTGAGTTCATGCACTCATGCCCACACATACAAGCACCACACACTTCACCTATCAAGAGGACTAATAGCATTCCCTGGGTTTTGTTATTGTGTGCCTATTACCCTTGGAAAAAAATACATTAACATTCAGTTCAGGCTCAGGCAAACTCTGAGTTTGCAAGCTGAAAGCTGAGCGCTGATTTGACTTAGGTAAGCTTTGAAGAAAGGCAAGATAAGGTAGCATTAATCTCAGTAAGCGAGCAGTTCTTTTTGCCTGAAGGCAGAGAGAGAGAGAGCTCCTTTGGGAAACTGGAGACCACCTGGGCATTCATCCTATCGGTCCACAAATCAGTGTGTTAATAGCATGTGTACAATAGCCTGTCAGAAAGAGCAGAAGGTATCTTTGAATGGTGCCTCTACAGAATGGTCAGAAATGGAATGCTGTTTTTTTTGTTTTCCGAGCCCATCCTCAAGATAGGAAAAAATAGTTATTATTTTAAACACAGAGGAATATAGCCCAATGCAATAATTTCTCAATAGTCCTGATCATTTTGTATCATTAGAGTTAGATGTAGGTACTCACACAAATACACTTTCATGTGTACAGGTGAAATATTTTTTGAATGAAGGATTATTGAAGGAAACTAGTTGTTTTATGGGCACAGCCAATGCTGATGACTAGTTCAGGAAAATTATCACAATTTTAGACTGAGATTTTCATTCTGGGAGATTGGGCTATGTATCTATCACCTGGTCAGAGGAAAGACACGAGCAGGTTCCACAGACTCCTATGAAAAGCCCAGCTATAGTGTTAATGTAAGGACTGGCCCAATAAAAGTGAGCTCTTAATTGAGAAGCTGTGATTCAAATGCACCAATACCACAACTCCTGCTGGCGTGTAGCATAAAGGAGCTTTAGTTCAACTATGGATCACGTGTCCTTTGGAAGGATTTGATATTAGAGACCTTCTGCTTATGTATTACCCATATATTAACATTTCTACTGCCATGCAGCAAGTCACACAATAATGTTTTTCATATTCCTAACTTGAAAAAGTGCTCCCACATACAGAGCAATTCCATTATTGGGTCCTCGATAGCAAATGAAAGCTCTTACAGAAAAGGACTTACACAATGACTTATTCAGATTAAAAGTTGTACAACTAGCCCTTTTTTTAGAGCAATAGATACTCTATTAGCAGCCAGACAAACTAAAAAGAACAGATATTTTAATATTGTAGTCATTTCTAGTTTTATGTGAGGCATCGTCCACTAAATCTTAGCATTCATTCCCAAAAGCCTTTCCACTTACCCATCCTTGACCTACACCCATAGTAGTATGTAATAGGTGACCTATCTCCATGGACAAAATGCTAAGCTATAACTATTCAATATCTTTGTACACTGTAGGAACACAGAAGTGGATATGGTATAAAATACACCTCACCACTCTAACTTAAAGAAATCAAAACTACAACATCTGTTCTTTTATTTCTCTAAGTGCATGATAAAATATCACTACATTATCACTTCTCAAACAGAAGCATTTGGAGCTTGAGGGAGCTTCATGTCTAGTGGGAAATACATTAAATCATTTGGGAGATGGTCACCTGGCACACAACTGCTGTAGAGCAACAATACTGTATTTCTTCCATCCCTGCGCAATAACTTAAAACCTTTGCACCTTGTGTGCAATGTTTACAAGGCAGCCAGACTGAAAGTAAGAGTCAAATAATGATGGGAGGTCATAGTGAGTAAGCACTAAGCAGAGAGTGTATCTTTGGAAAGCAAGGCAGATGGACGAACTAAAGTCACGAGGCACATGTAGCATGTGGGGGAAATACATGAATTACAAGGGCGTGTGGTAATTTGTGGAGGAAATCTGCAAGGAGGAAGATCAGATCAGCAGATCAAATTCAGATCACTTCAGCAGGATCTGAGCATACATAATCAACACTCACTGCTCTCTGCACAATGTGTGATTTCAGCTTTATTCTTTGTCACACCAAAACAGTGTGACAGACACCTGGCATGACTGTATTGAGATGTCATTGCCATTGCATGTTGGGGCAAAGAAGTCAAGATCTTTTGGTAATGAGACTGAGCTAGTCTCTCACCTGCAGAAAACTTTTTGGCAGGCGGTTGCCTTTGTTCCTGTTCGAGCACTGGGTTATACCGTCATGCATAGAAAAGACCGTAGTTTGCTAGCAGCCATGTGTATATAGAAAAAAGGGACCAACCCCACTTTGATTTAAAAATTACATTCCATCTTTTGCCATTTTTTTCTCCTTTAGCAGCTTATTCTCTAAATAGTTTCCTACCCAGATTTGAGGCACCAGTGTGCAGAATTATGACTATCAGAAGGCTGCCACAAAAGACATGAGACAAGTAGCCCTGGTCCTGATGAGCTCAATCAGACTTTAGTGTTCCAATTTCTGCAGGCTTTGGGGTCATCAGCACATGGTAGCTGAAGTTTTTGTTCTCTTCCTTTTAATGTCGTGTTTTTATAATTAGCCTCACACACCGCTTATGCTCAAGTGTCACATTTGTGGTGCTTATGTAGAATGTCAATGCAATAAATAATACAAAGGGTTTACTACATAGGGCTCATAGAAATGTTATTGCTGTCTTTTTAACATGTATCATTTTCCACTGACTTACTATGATAATGTAAAGGAAATGCTTATATTATATAATGTGATAGCATTTTCAGTTGCTAAAGAGACATTTTAAAGTTGAAAATGTCAGAGGCATGGGGACATTAGAAATTAGAATTTCGGTGTTCTCTTTTCAAACCTATTTGAAGAGGAAATAAGTTCAGCAATCATAAATTTCCACTTTCTTTTTATTGTTGTTAGAAATGTCTCTGCCTACAGCCCAGTCAACAGCAATTCAGTTGTGATTCATGGTTTTAGAGCCTGAATTATGACAAAAGAAGTCATAAATTGCAGGAATTATTTTACTTTAAAGATGATGGAGTATCTACTCTGACCAGAAGGCTTTTAATCTATTATATTTCTTAAATAAATATGCTTAAGCAACTAATCACTTGCTATTAGCACTCTCCTATGATCACTTCCACTAACATAACACTGTATTACTTAAATAAACTGGCAATGTGCACAGGATAGATTTATGAGACTTAATTTCTTAGCTCACACTTGTCTCTTTTGCATTCAAAACAAATCCCAGAATGTAGCTGTTGGCTGATGTTTGTAGAACCCATTTGTTTCATAATTTGAAAGCAACTATAATATTTGTCAGCCAGTTTTTGTGTGTATGTTCTGCATGCTAAAAAACCCTAAACAACTAACAAGATAAGAACAATGCCTCTGGATAATATGATAGCATTGGAAAACACTTTATTTTCATGATGACACATTATCTATATTACTTCTGCTGTGGAAAAGGTATGGCTAGTGCCAGCAAAAGCTTTATACCTCTGCTCAGTTACAGAAAGTCTAACTGGTATAAAAAGAGAGAGTCCCAAAGGGATCTCTGATAAGTCAAATTGGCAGATGTCTGCTAGATAGATGTCAAGTACCAAAATTCTGGTGGTTTGCCACCAAAAATGTGCCCAAGCATGTCACATTTTAATTTGTGTAATAAGCGTGGAGTACCCATCAGTTGGTGTTAGTTAATGCAAGTTATACATCAGGCCATCTGAATAAAACCTATTTCAAGTATAAAAACAACAGAAGGGAAATTTAGCATGAGAAAGATTATTAATGCTGATGGCAAAAGATTTAGCCTCTAAAGCAACTCTTCATCAAAGATGACCTCACCTCTGAGATAGACAGTTTCTGTCCTTCACCTTTCCTAAATATATTCAGAAGGCTCCAAGGGCAGAAGAGTCAGGATGTCTGGGGAGGATGGGGAAAGTTTAAACTATCCTCATTGCTTCATTCAGATAAATCCCAGCAGCTCTACTGGCACTTCTTGCTTATAACCAAAGTTAAGGAAAGAACAGGTTTTTGTTTGTTTGTTTGTTAGTTCTTTTAACTGCTAGTTGAAAACAAACAAAATAAAGGATAAATAGAAAAGAAGACCTTTATTTCAGGCTAATCTAAAGTTTATTGTTTTCAGTCAACTCAAAATTTACTTTGAGATTGAGCAATATATTCTCATCCTTAAAAAATAATTTTGGTTTGGATTTAGAATTTGCACATAAAGAAAATGAGGAACAAAAATCTAGCCCGAATGGAAATCCCCAAAATAATCTGAAGCAATGTTTGGACTTCTGTTTCCTTTCTGTTTCCAGTTTTTCCTGGACTTTGAGGGAATTTTTATAGGACAAACAACTTGGCAAAAATTGAATTTTAATTTCTAAAATGTTATTATATCACCACATCTGTATGTTTCACAGAAAAATTTTTTAGCCTGTTCCAACAAACTAATCCACTAGACAGAAGTGTCATATGGCAACCAAAGTAAATACAGCTCAGGAAGGCAGTTATTTCCCATTAATAATTATTCCATCAGGCGGAAGTGAAAATAAAAACAAATTCCCTATTTGATTGTAGGGCTTTATTTTCTACAAGCAGTGTTTCACTCTTCTACAATTACTATTTTCAAGTTCATTGGATTTATAGGGATGCGGTATGGCATCAAAAATGTATACAGAGGGAACTTGGAAGCAAATCCAACGTTTGTTTGCCTTAAAATACCATGCTGCAAACTGTGGCGTGCTAGCAGCTGATCCACAAGAAACAGACACCCAAGCCCCAACCAGGCCGCTGTGCCACGGGCTCACCTGGATGCGGCCGCAGCAGCGGCAGCAGGAGAAGAGCCTGAGGCTGGATGAGGGCACTGCTGGCGTGCTGCTCAACCAGGAGGGAGAGGGTGCTGGTGATGCTCGGCAGCATCCTGGGATCGGATGGTTTGTGCTGGGTGTCTGTCTGCAAGGATCGGGTGGTTTGTGCTGGGTGTCTGTCTGCAAGGATCGGGTGGTTTGTGCTGGGTGTCTGTCTGCAAGGATCGGGTGGTTTGTGCTGGGTGTCTGCAAGGATCGGGTGGTTTGTGCTGGGTGTCTGTCTGCAAGGATCGGGTGGTTTGTGCTGGGTGTCTGTCTGCAAGGATCAGGTGGTTTGTGCTGGGTGTCTGTCTGCAAGGATCGGGTGGTTTGTGCTGGGTGTCTGCAAGGATCGGGTGGTTTGTGCTGGGTGTCTGTCTGCAAGGATCGGGTGGTTTGTGCTGGGTGTCTGCAAGGATCGGACGGTTTGTGCTGGGTGTCTGTCTGCAAGGATCGGGTGGTTTGTGCTGGGTGTCTGTCTGCAAGGATCGGGTGGTTTGTGCTGGGTGTCTGTCTGCAAGGATCGGGTGGTTTGTGCTGGGTGTCTGTCTGCAAGGATCGGGTGGTTTGTGCTGGGTGTCTGTCTGCAAGGATCTGTGGTTTCAGGGACAAAGGCGATCTGCACAGTGTCTTTCAGCGGTGTGAGACAGTCCTGCCCGTGCTCCAAGCTGCCCTCTGAGGCTGTTGTCGCCGAAGCTGAACTGCAAGTACTGCCTCCTTGCAACCTCTGAGAGCTTGCTTGCCTTTACAGGCAGTTTAATAATGTGTCTCATGGTAGCCACTCCTCTAACACATTCTTCAGAGGCATCTCTAACCAAACCTGGCGCTGTGTATCCATTTTCTAATACTGCTGCAGGCTCTGTGGCTTGTATATGGTTTCTACAGGCGCTCCCTACCAGCCCAAGGTTGTCTATTCATTTCCTTCAATCTCCATTGGGAAACCACTGTTTTGTGAGAGCTTGCTGGTAGTATTTAACTGAAAGGTTCATTAGGATTTTTTCTCTGTCTTGGACCAGTCAGTCTGACCTTGGTAAGAAAGAGTTCATTACATACATTAGATGATCTGCAGTGGTTGAGTAGTAGTCATGCATTATAACATCCAGTTTAAGAGTAAAATTTCCAATGAAGAACGAGAGTGGTTTTGTTATTTTAGAAGATGAATAACTTGACATTAAAGTTATTTCATCTTTTTTTTTTTTTTTTTTCCTTTTTTTTCTTTTTTTTTTTTTTTTTTTTTTTTTTTTTTTTTTTTTTCCCAAAAGCAGGCCTGGTTTGACCCTTCACTCTGCATGTAAACATAGGTGATACCTGAGAGAAATACTAAATAGAAGCTCAAAGTTTTTTACTATGACCTAAGCCAGCTGTTGCTCTGTCACAATAAAGCTTGGGTTTTGGACGGGAGTTACATAGCAGGGGTGGCATCCTGGAAGGATCAAGTAGATGTTCAGGTTCGGGTCTAAACTTTGTAACAGGTAAGTTTAGTGCTTAGACAATCTGAGCCTTACTGCAGGTAATCTCAAGAGAACATGTACAGAGCTTGGTCATCTTTCCCAGGCATCTCAGGTACTAGAGTCCTTGGGAGATTTCAGTGCTATTTAGACAAATTCAGGTAAACAAATCTCTTGTATTTTGGGATGCCAACCCAACTCCCAAGATAACTGTCACTTATCAGCCTGTTATCCCACTCAGAAGTCCAACTGGATTTAAATTCAGGTACTTGTTGTGGAGAAGGTGATTGGGAAGGATAAAAAAAAATCAGTATTTTTACTTGCTGGAAGGTTACAGATCAGTTTTCAGATTGCTCTAAATTGCTCTATCTTATCAGTGATTTAACTTTGCATGTATTAACTGCAGCCATCACTAAATTTATTTTAGGTCTTTGCAAGTGAATAAGAGCACAGACTAAGATGGCATTCATATACATCCCCTCCCCTCACACACACACACCTAATTTAGATATATACCAAACCTGATCAAAACCAAGCAAAAAAAACCCCTACCCCAAACCCAGAAGAACCAACAAAATCAGGGCTATTTCCAGTGCTATGTCACTAACAATTTTATTTAGATTATTGAAGGTACTGGAATAAGAGCTTCCTACTCTGTGTAGATCCAGGCTTGTTTTGTGAAGTCAGTGTTAGAATTAATCTTCAGTCCACGTACAGTCAGAAGCAGTCAGGACATCTGCTCTGGTCTAATTTGAAAGAGTAAATACATCCATGTAGTAATACTGAAATGTACGGTAATTCATGCTAGAAAGCCATGCCTTTTCCCTTTTTACATATTCCATTCATATCACCCTCTAAGATTAATTGGCTTAGTTCTGTAAGAAGCATTTCTGATGAATTTAAATATTCACTTCTATTCAGCTTGTGCTTATTTTATGGAAAGCTACATGTTTTCAGGTCAGTGGTCAATGGAATTCTTTTTACAGCTGCCTCCTCCTGTTTATCTGTCAGTAAAGTAAACTCTCTTCTATTTGTTTAGAAATTAAAGTATTCTCCACTGTTGTGTCTAGGCACTCTTCCGCTCACGGTAGAGTATGAGCTATCATTATGTTATAGGCAGTGCTTAGAAAGCCATGCTCTGCACAACGGGAGGCAAAACTCCTTTTGTCTTCAGCAGGATCCCCATGGTACAAAGCTGAGAGCTCCTGCATGGGTGACAGTGGACAGAAATGATGTTACATCTTTAGAGTCAAGGGCAAGCTGTGGCTTCTCCCTTCCTGGAAATGTTCATGGTCAGGTTGGATGTGGCTCTGAGCAACCTGGTATAATGAAAGATGTCCCTGCCCATAGAGCGGGGGTTGGTTTAGATGATCTTCAGAGGTCACTTCCAACGCAAACCAGTCTATGATTCTATGATAATTAAAATTAATTCTGTTTGTTAGCTCAGATCTACCAAGATCCACACCTATAAATCATATCTGGGTTAATTTAACTTAACCCTTTACTCAGTCTCTTTGTGTCTATCTTTCCTACTATTCTCCCGTACTCTGATCCATTAGCATATAGAAGAGAGTTCCCCAGGAACCATCCCCATCACCTCCTACCCCCTAGGCAAGGCACACTCATTGGACTTCATGCCAATCTAAGCTATTCTTTACACATTTTTGCTCAGTGAGTTTGTGTTACAGTGTTTGCCCTTCACTCTGGCCTCTCTCTAAAACATCACCCCTATGGCTGAAACACAGTTCTTCACCAAAAGTCACTACTGAAGCTTACTGCATGTCTTGAAGCAATACCCTTATATTTTGGAAGGAAAACAAGCAGCTTAGCTGCAGCTAACATGTCTATGCTCCAGTCAGCTTTTGCCTTTCCCTTTCCATGAGAACAGCATCTTTGAAAGGCTGAATTCTTTCTGTTATTTGGCCATATGCTCTTGCTGTAACTATGTTCTTTTCATAACAACCTTACTCTAACCATATATTATTAACCCCCAGAGACAGAAACTTCATCTTAACATTTTCCTGTAAGCACTGCAGAAACCTAGGGTATAATACAAATGTCTTTCCTCCCAACCCCTGCTTACACTTTAAATATAAGGAGAAGAGAAGTCAGTTTTAAAAAAGAAACAAAAAACTGATCCAGTATGGAGCATCCAAATCTGAGTTATTTTCTGGTAGAAAAGAGCATGCAGGTGGTAAAACATCTGTTCTCTCTCTGGGCTTTAGGTATCCAGCATTGGCTTGTACTTAGCAACTCTCTCCTCTTCCATATGTATTTCTTACAGAAGGTTTAACACTTACATGTTGGGCTCTCTACAGCATTTTTAAATTTGAAACAGAAAAAAAAAAACACTTTAAGCAGTAAAAGATAACATTATTTTCCAGAGTTTATTTAATGAAGAATCACCTCTAAGTTACAATAGTTAGTGCTTTGTTTTCTATAAGATTCAGTTACTTGTCTAATAGAGAAACCAAACCCTCTTTAGGTGTATCTGCAATACACCACTTCTGGTAGCACCATCATCAGCAGCACACTGAATAGATCTGCCATGTATAAGCGGGATGGCTCAAGAGACCTAAGAGAGAAACATGAGATATTAAAACGAAGGTGAAACAAGCATATCCTGCCGGGTGGGACTCCAATGAGAAACAGGGTTTTCCTTTTTTTCTTCCCTTTCTGATTAGGTGAAGATGTGATCGTAGTTGTGAACTTTCAGCAGATCCACTACCAAAGGGAGATGTTTCAGAGGAGGAACTGGTGAGCGTTATCTTCCAGCATCCACAGGGCACCGGCTGATGTTTGCTGATCCTGAAGCTAAGACCACTCAGGGAGCAAGAGAAGAGATTTCCTTTACATAAGCTATTTGATGTTGTTGTGGTTTGAGCCTGATTGGCAGCCAACCACAATGCGGCAGCTCTCTCTCCCTTCCCCTCCGGCAATGCGAAGGGACAGAGAGCCAGGCTTGGGGTTCGAGATAGGACTGGGATGGGGAAAAATTCCCCTTTATGATCACAAGCAAAAGGCAGACTCATTAGGGGAAGAAAAAAAGAACATACATTTATTACAGACACTAACAACACATAACAGAGTAGGACAGTGAGAAGCATTGCCATATCTTGAGAACACCTTCCCCCCACCCCTCCCTTCTTCCCAGTCTCAGCTCTGCTCCCGATATCTCTACCTCCTCCCCCAGTGGTGCAGGGGCAGGGAATGGGGGGTGCAGGCAGTGCTGCCACTTCCTTCATCTTCGGTGAGGGGAGTGTCCGGAACTTGTTCCCCCCTGCTCCATCGTGGTCCCCCTCTCACAGGAGACAGTCCTCCACAAACTTTCTCCGACATGAGTCCCTCCCACGGGCCGCAGTGTTCCCCACACTGCTCCGTCATGGGTCACTAATTTCCTCCGACTGGATTCCCTCCCACGGCTGCAGCCCTTCCTGAGCTGCTCCGGTGTGGGACACCCCCACATGCTGCAATCCTCCCAGTGCTGAATTACAGCAACGGGGCTGCCTTTTCCCATGAGACCCCGGCCTTCTTTGGGCACAGCACCTTGGTCAGTTGAGCAGGAGCAACAGGCCATAAATCAATGTCTGCTCCACCATAGATCTCCATGGGTGGCAGGGGGGGGCCGCCCTGCCGTCTCACCACAGGATACAGGGGGGGTCTCTGCTCCTGCACACCTCCCCCCTCCTTTCTTCCTCCGTTCCTCCACTGACCTTGGTGTTCACGCAGCTGCACCAACTCCTCCTCACAGTCCCACTGCTCGTCACCACGTCCCCTCTTAAATATGTAATCGCAGAGGCGCAGCTGATTGGCTCCATTTCCCAAACAGAAGTGGAGCTGACGTGGAGCTGGGGGAGCTTCGAGAAGCTTCTCACAGGGGTCCTCCCCGATAGCCCCCTCCCCTGCCACCAAAAAACTCCACCACTCACTCAACCCAGGACAGATGTCAAGACAGCTCTCAAAGGAATTACTCTTTGGAGAGCTTTGGCACCCGGGGCACCAGTCGCCAGTGCTGTCGTGTGCAGCTATGAAGGCAGCATGTGAACACATGCCCAACTGGTTTTCTGAAGACAAATCCTGTGTGCCAGATAAATGTAGAGTGCGCACAGCTCGCATCTCAACTGATGGACTGAATGTGGTGATATCTTTAAGAACAAAAAACTCTTTCTGGCCCTTGTTCCTGCACTTTAGGGAAAAAAAGTTTATATCAAGAGATCTCAGAAAATCCTCTGATGTCTTAAAAGTCTCAAGCTGAGGCCTGTCAGGATATAATTAACAGATGTAGACAGCCACTATCTCGGCATGACTAAGCTAGTTTTACACCGGATAAGCCTGAATTATATTTATTTTCATTTCACAACATGTTCATAATTTTAATGAACTAGTGTGA